CTGGAGGAATGCCACCTTCTGCCGTGAGTACCTGCCTTGCAGTTGCCAGAAGGGAAATGTGCCGCTCCCCGTGCCCAGAACCTCTGGCCAAAGCAAGTCTTTGGTCTTCCCCTTCCCAGATGGTCGTCCTTCCTTGAAGGCTTGCTGGTCCTAACTGTCCCCTTCCCATTGCAGCCCTGCTGTGCCCCGCCAACAGCTACTATGACCCTTGCATGACTGGCTGTCCTGCCACCTGTGTTGACCGACAAGCCCCGCAGAACTGCTCCAAGCCCTGCATGGAGGGCTGCGCATGTTCCTCTGGTTTCCTCCTCAGCGGAGACACCTGTGTGCCCGAGGCCCACTGTGGCTGCCTCTTTGAGGGCAACTATTACAGCGTGAGTGAAAACCCTGCCCTGGCTTGCACCCCTCCCAGGGCACTCCCTTGCCTCTACTTTCCTGCCTGATACGCTGACGCTCGGTGTTCCTCTGCCTGCAGGAAGGCGAGTACTCTGTGAGCGAGAACTGCACTCGCCAGTGCCGGTGTGAAGCCAACGGCCAGATGGTTTGCTCTGCATTGTCCTGTGGTGAGGACGAGGTCTGCAAGATCCAGAACGGCCAGAGGGGCTGTTACCCAGCCAGCACTGCTCTCTGCCACATCTACGGCGACCCGCATTACAGCACCTTCGATGGGAAGCTTCACCACTTCCAGGGCTCCTGCAACTACACCGTGGTGACGGGCTGTGACAGCTCCTCCGTTGGGTTCAGTGTCACCACCCGCAACAAACATCGTGGCAGCCGGAGCTGGACAGCTCTGAACTCTGTGGCGCTATCCATGGAAGGCCTCCACATTGCACTGCGCAAGAACAAGGCGGTCTACGTAAGCCCCTCATTTTTACACCTGGGAACAGCGGATGCCCTAGGCACCATTAAGTACCACTTTGTCCCCAAGAAGAGCTTGATATTCCCTGAGCCTGCTGGCATGCTCACAGAAGAGCACGGCGAGGCTCTGAGCAGGGCAGATATGGCTGCTCGCACAGCAGCAGATTTTCGGCTTGTTTTCCTGAGCTTTCGGTGTGCCGTATGTAGTCGCTGCTGTTCTCGTAGGCCTGGGCAGGGTTTCTCACGCCATCAGTGCTTCCGACTCACTGGGCCCTGGCACCATCGCAGCGAAGAAGAGTGACGTCTCAGTGGAGGGCATCTCTTTATGCTTCTATCTCCCTCTCTCCCCCTTACTCAGATCAACGGTGCTCTGGCCTCCCTGCCTGCTTCTCCTGCCCCCGGTGTGACCATTTCCTTGAGTGGCTCCCACGTGCGGGTTTCCACCAAGCTGGGCCTGCAGCTGCAGTTCAACGGGGACCATGAGCTCCTAGTGAAGGTGTCTGAGAGGCACAAGGGCAAGCTGTGTGGGCTGTGTGGGACGTACACTGGGAGCCAGCAGGACGACTTCATGCGACCCGATGGGGTTGTTGTGCCTGACTTCAATGACTTTGGAGCCAGCTGGATGGTGCCGGATGATGAGTGGCCGTGAGTCCTTGTTCTGTCGCGTAGATGACAGACAATAGGGAGAAAGGGAGCGTGGGAGAGGGGGGCTGTGAGGGGCACAAGGAGGGAGGGTTGCTTATGGCAGGCATGGGGCAAGGGAGAGGAGGCAGGCAGTTGCGGGAATGCGTGTGAGAGCACATAGAGGCTCCACAGCAGCAGACGTATCGCCCTTGTGTCTCACCTCTCTGCTCCACCCGCCAGTGGGATGTCCTGTCTGCAACTGGGTGCTAGACGTGTGGCCATTCCCCTTTCCCCTCAAGGCTGGCTTGCTTGTGGCAGTGTCCAGGCCCCTCCATGTGGCCAGGGCGCACGGTGCTCTCTCCCATAAGCGTTCTGCTCTGGCGTCCTCAGTGACCTCTGTGCAGGGCCCTGCCATCCCACTCCACACGCTGCATCCCACTGTTCCTGACCGCAGAGAGAGTGGGCCGGGGCCTTGGCATGATGCTTTTCCCAAGCTGTTGCAATTGCAACTGCCTCGGCCATTTGTTTCTGCCTACCTGATGCCACGGAGGGGAATGGTGACTGTGGGCCGTGTTGCCCACCCTTGCAAGTGACAGCCGTGGGTGCCTTGTCTTAGCGAGAGATCTGGACTCCAGAGGCTGAGGTTTTGGCTGGGGAGGAGGTCAGGAAACGGTGTGGCTGCGGTCCACAGGCTGCTGTGAGCTCAGGGCTGGCTGTCTGCTTTGTAGGTGTGACCCAGCCATCAGCCCGCCTGTGACCTGCTCCCCCGCGGAGGAGGAGGCAGCTAACAAGCAGTGCGCAATCCTCACGCAACTCGGTGGCCCGTTCCAGCCATGCCACGCAGTTCTGCCCCCCAAGACGTACTTTGAGAGCTGTGTCTATGACCAGTGTGCCACGGGTGGCAGCACAGAGCAGCTCTGCAATGACCTGGGGGCCTATGCCACAGCCTGTGCTGAGGCAGGCGTTGCTCTGGGAGACTGGAGTGCTGGCACGGTCTGTGGTAAGTGTTCTGTTGATCTCCTTTGCGGCCCAGATTCAAGGAACGGGAAAGCTGTGGCGGAGGTTTCTCCGAGCATCACCTGACCACTCTGGTGGGCCAGGCCTTGGGTGAAGAGACTCTTTGTGACAGGGATGCCGTGGAATTCCTGTCCTGCGCTCCTTTTGCCATGGTGTTGGGGTGTTTGGGAAGGGTGCAACATCCCCATTTGGGAAGAAATCCCCATTATGAAACACATCATCTCCACATCTGTTTCACTGTAGATCCAGCAGCTCCTACAACCTCAGCCCCTTTGCCAGACACCTCAACGCAGCCTCCACATACAACAACATCACCAGCACCTGGGACAAGCACAGGTACTGTTGTCTGCCATCCATGTTTTTTACTGGTACTCAGCTCGTGCACTTCCACTTGGTTGGCCATCCTCACCTGGCCATGAGCATGCCAGGGATGTAGGTGTGTCCTGCGGGACATGGGGAAAAGGTGGCCCCACCCTCACTCTAGAAACTCTGCTTTCCTTTCTGCACCGTATCCAGCTCCCCCAACAGACTGCAATTTCGCTTGCACATTCGACAAAGACTTCTGTGAATGGGTCCAGGCAGATTACAGCAGCATTGACTGGATAAGGAACAAGGGTCCAACGCCCACGCAAAATACCGGCCCCTCCTCTGACCACACGACGGGAGGTAGGAACAGCAATCAGTACACAGTGGTCCTTCAGGCAGAGGGATGTCCCTGGGAAGATGGCAACAAACCTCTCCTAACAGCAAATACAGGCCACATGTTACCTGGCCTTGATTCAGAGTTGTTTCTGGCCAGAGCCTTCCTTTAGGAAGCTTTCCAGCCCTGGGAATCAGTCTGTGGTACCCGCAGGGCAGGCAAGGACCTGCTGTGCAAGGGGGAAAGTAATGCAAAGCTCGATGGCCTGGCTGTCTCAGAGGAGCAGGAACAGGTCTCTCTTTTAGGAGACGCTGGCTTCTCCAGAAGCCAATGATGAGCTGCAGCCCCAAAGCTGCAGAGCCATGCGAGGATTGTGGTGCCATTGCCCAGTCCAAGCCATACAGCTGCCATGGCCCAGAGAGCACGGTTCATAGGTGGACTCAGGGCTGGGAAGGGTTGTGGCTAGCAAAGGACCTGTGTTTGCTCTTCCGTCCTTTTGCCTGCCTTGAACTACAGCAGGGGTGCTCCCAGGACTGTGCTTGGGTTGTCCCTGGCTGCTTTGTCTAGATTTGATATGCGTGTGACAGTGTGGCTAACGCTTTGTTTCAGTCGGCTACTACATCTACCTGCAAGGGAGCAATGCCCTCCCCGGCTTTGTGGCTCATCTGGTCAGTCCGGTGTGCAGTTCGGAAGGACCGCACTGCTTCCGCTTCTGGTATCACATGTACGGAGCGGCCAAAACAATGGCCCTGCGGGTGTACGTGGCTGAGAGCGAAGACCTCGTGCTGGTCTGGAGCAGCGTTGGGAACCATGGGGACAGGTGGAACTTGGGAGAGATCACGGTGCACAGCACAGGAAACATGCAGGTAAG